AGTGGGTCCCTGACCCCCGTGCAGCTTAACTGGGAGACACCTCCCAGCAGGGGCTGACTGACACCTCATACAGATGGCTGCCCCTCTGGGACGAAGCTTCCAGAGGAAGGATCAGGCAGCAATATTTACTGTTCTGCAATATTTGCTGTTCTGCAATATTTGCTGTTCTGCAGCCTCTGCTGGTGATACCCAGACAAACAGGGTCTGGAGGGGACCTCCAGCAAACTCCATCAGACCTGCAGCTGAGGGACCTGACTCTTAGAAGGAAAATTAGCCAACAGAAAGGAATAGCATCAACATCAACAAATAAGACATCTACGCCAAAACCCCATCTGTAGGTCACAAGCATCAAAGACCAAAGGTAGATAAAACCACAAAGATGGGAGAATCCAGAGCAGAAAAGCAGAAAATTCTAAAAATCAGAGTGCCTCTTCTCCTCCAAAGGATCACAGCTCCTCGCCAGCAACGGAACACAGCTGGATGGAGAATGACTTTGACGAGCTGACAGAAGTAGGCTTCAGAAGGTAATAGCAAACTTCTCTGAGCTAGAGGAAGATGTTTGAACCCATTGCAAGGAAGCTAAAAACTTTGAAAAAAGATTAGATGAATGGCTAACTAGAATAAACAGCGTAGAGAAGACCTTAAATGACCTGACAGAGCCGAAAACCGTGGCACAAGAACTATGTGACGCATGCATAAACTTCAATAACCGATTCAATCAAGTGGAAGAAAGGGTATCAGTGATTGAAGATCAAATTAATTAACTGGGTGTGGTGATGGGCGGCTATAATCCCAGCTACTCAGGAGGCTGAGGCAGGAGAATTGCTTGAGCCCAGTAGTTTCAGGCTGCAGTGAGCTGTGATCGAGCTACTGCACTTCAGCCTGGGTGACAGAGCCAGACCTTGTCTTAAAAAAAAAGTCCTGGCCGGGTACGGTGGTTCACGTCTGTAATCCCAGCACTTTGGGAGGCTGAGGAGGGAGGATCACCTGAGGTCAGGAGTTCGAGACAAGCCTGGCCAATATGGTGAAACCCCAACTGTACTAAAAATACAAAAATTAGCTGGGCACAGTAGTGGGAGCCTGTAGTCCCAGCTACTCGGGAGGCTGAGGCAGGAGAACTGCTTGAACCTGGGAGACAGTGGTTGCAGTGAGCTGAGATCATACCACTGCAATCCAGCCTGGGTGACAGAGTGAGACTCCATCTCAGAAAAAAAAAAAAAAAAAAAAGTCCTAAAAGCCCCCAAATGATTGTCCATGTTCAGTGAGCACAGCTGTGAGCCATGGATCAGTATCCTTAGGAATTTCAGAGTTTTGAGAAATGCAAAGTTTCCATTCCTACTGGTTGCTATGGGATTATCATGAAGATAAGCAGACCAGTGCTTGTCTGTCTCAAACGAGGGGTGCTGAGCAGCCCTCCCCCGGCTCTGGTGGCTCCACAAGGCTGCTGTGGCAATAGGAGCTGGCCTGGGTGGCCGACTCTCCACTTCCTCTGTGGTCAGGGCTGACCCTTCTTTTTTTTTTTTTTTTTTTTCCCTTTTTTTTTTTTTTTTTTTTTTTTGAGACGGAGTCTCGCTCTGTCGCCCAGGCTGGAATGCAGTGGCGCGATCTCCGCTCACTGCAAGCTCCGCCTCCCGGGTTCACGCCATTCTCCTGCCTCAGCCTCCTGAGTAGCTGGGACTACAGGCGCCCGCTACCTCGCCCGGCTAGTTTTTTGTATTTTTTTAGTAGAGACGGGGTTTCACCGTGTTAGCCAGGATGGTCTCGATCTCCTGACCTCGTGATCCGCCCGTCTCGGCCTCCCAAAGTGCTGGGATTACAGGCTTGAGCCACCGCGCCCGGCCCAGGGCTGACCCTTCTTAACCCTGTTTTCCAAATAAGGAGTGGAGACGCAGAGCGCTGCTGGCCCTGGGAGGCAGGAGCTGTGTGAGGGCCAGAGCGAAGGTTGTCATAGGTCTCACCTGTCTCCAAGGCCCCAGCAACCCTGGAGAGCAGAGTGGGCCACGCAGGTTTCATCGCTCACGCAGCAAGGTGCCCAGGGTGCTGAGAAGCCAGGCCGCGCTAGACCGTGGGCCAGTGAAAGGCCAGGGCAGGGCAGTCCTGGGGAGTGCAGCTGGACCTGTCCTCGCTCTGGTCGGCTCAGCTGCCCTGGACAGGTGGGGGCTCCTACCAGCTGCTCTCACCCTTGAGTCCCAGCCTCCCATTCTGGCCCTGACGCTGGGGGCAGTGGTACTCTCCCGGGTCAGTGTGACCAGTTGGAGAGTGGCTTCTGGCCATGAGGTGTGCAATAAGCTAGTTTTGGGGACACTCCTTTTCTGAAACTGCACTTGCTCAGATGAAAGTGGGGTCCAGGCCCCTCACTGCCCAGACACAGAGGACAGGATAGGGGGAGACTGGGCTGGAGGCAGCTGGTCCATGGAGGGCCATGCTCCAAAATCTGAACTTGAGAGACGCACACTTGTCTTCAGGTGGTGCGGGGCCCAGGGCTGTGGGTCACCAAATGATCCCATGTCATTCCAGAGCCCAAATGACCTGTTGCAGGTTCAGACACCAGCGTCCTGACAGAAACAACTGGTCTACAGCACAGGGAGAGGTGTGGACAGGGCTGTGGAGGAAGCCCCGGACTCCGAGGAGAGAACACAGCCTGTGAGGACTCCCTGGCACCCTGGGCCACGTCAGGGCACTCAGGCTTCGCTGCGAGCTTCTGTGGCTCTCACCCGCCAGCATCCCTGCCCCATCCTGGTAGCTGCACCATGGGCCCTTCAAGGAACCCCCTCTCTGCTGGGTCCAGGCAGATGAGATAATCGGGGCAGTCTCCCTTCTGGGGTAGGCCCGAGGCTCCGAGGCCTGGGCTGGACAGGTCAGCATGTGCCCCTCCCCCAGTGTGCTTGGCACAGGGCTGAGACCCACATCAGGCTCACACGACTCAGGGGCAGAGCCAACCTCCCACTGGGTCTGCTGACCGCAGGGGGTGACTTGGAGTCGCCGAGGACCATCGCAGGCTGAGTGAGGATGTGGCCAGTTCAGAGACAGCAGAGCCATGAAAGGGGCAACTCGCCAGGCGGCCCTGATCTGTCGAGTCAGGAGGGCCAAGGAATCCCCACTTTTGCTTGTCGCTTTGACTTCATTTTCTGCTGTCTGCATCAGAAAGTTCTAGCAAGTACACCTACTGGCCAGGACAGAGCTCCTCTGGGGTTCTTTAGGCGTCAGCTGCCAAAGGACCCCACAAACCACATGGAGGAGGCCACAGGACAGGTCCCCAGGTGGGCGGGGCTTCCCCTCTCACGCTGGTGGCCGCACTCCACCCCTCCACCCTGCACGGCCTGAACCCTTGCTGTCCTATGGAAACACAGGGTGAGTCCACATGCAGTTCCGCATTTACCAGGAGCCACGCTAGAAAAGCAGAAGTAGCTGAAATGCAGACTTAACTTTATATTTTATTTAACCCAACATATCCAAAATATTATTTCAACAAGTCTTCTACATAAAAAATTATTCATGAGCTGCCCCGCCTCACACAGCCCTTTGTCCTCTGAGAACGTCAGGAAAGGCAGAGGCTGAACAGGGAGGCTTCACCCGCAGGGTCCAGCTCACCGGGGGAAGCTCTGCTGGCCCCAAGGGACTTACACAATGAAAAGATGAAATTCTGAAACAAAGTATCTACACTAGCCCAGAGAACTTAAAAAGTGAAAGGATGAAATTCTGAAACAAAGTATCTTTAGGACGCAGATACCACTCAGTACTGAGAAAGACCTGGCTTACTGCTGTCAGCACAGGGACCCCTGGGGGCTGGAGAGCCCGCTCTGGAAAGCACTCACTGCACACAAATAGACATATGAGATGGAAAAGGGGCTGCCCAGGGCTGAGGGCTGTCAGCCCTGGGTGGGGAAATTATGGATGGTGTCTGTTATCTCTTCAGGTATATATGCTAAAAAACCATTAATTTAATAAAATTGTTCAGTGAGATATTTTATATTCTTTTTCTTGTACCAAGTTTTCTAAACCTGTGTACTTTACACGACCAGCACCTCCCAATTCCGACAGCCACAACTTCTCAGCCCTTGCGTGAGGCCTGTGGCCCCCACTGGTCAGCACAGGTGGATCTGAAGGCCCCTGTCAGGGTCTCTGCTGGTCTGCAGCCAGCACACAGGGGCTGAGCGACATTGACAGCCCAAAACTGTCCAGCACTCGATGTCATCCCAGTCCTCACATACCACGTGAGCACAGCAGGACAGGTGTGGCCCCTCCCCCAGTGGAGGTGGCTGAGGCTCAAGAATGGAAGTGACCCCCCCAGCTTGGAGACAGTAGGGTTTGAACCCAGGTGTGTCTGGGGTCCTGCACGGTGACCCGTGCCCCAGGCAGACTCATTACTGAGTCTCCAGGTGGCTCCCACAAGGAGTTAGGGAAGGAGGCCTCCAGGCCGGCTCTGTGACCCCTGACCCCGCACCTGCCCACCAGGGGACATCCCAGCCTTTCAGTTCTTCAGACCTCAGGGACACCTGACCTTTGCTCAGCGTTCTCCAGGGGACAAAGGCAGCCCTCAGGTAAGACTGGAGCCCAGCGGGGGGGACCCGGAGGCCCGAGACGGCGGGAGTGATTCCCAGGGCGACGCAGCTCTCAGGCAGGGCGGCAGGAGCAGCCCCTTCCTCCCTTTGAGGCGGCCACGCTGCGTGCCCACCTTCCCAAGAGCAGAGGGCGGGAAAGGTCAGACGGGGGAGGCAGGGCCGGGCAGTACGCCGGTCACCCACCTGTGAGGGAGGACGCTGTCCCGGTCATGCGCACGGCAGCGCGGGCGGTTACCGGTGGCTGCGAGACCCACGCCTGGACACCGCGCCACTCCTCGCGGGCCTGCCCCCCTCCCCACCAGGAGACTCCACCTTCTGCCCTCCTCCGCGCGGGGCCTCCGCCCGACTCTCCCACCCACCACGCGCGCCCCTCCCTCCCTCCTGCTCGCCCCGCCCCTCCTCCCGCGACCCCCGCCCCGTCCCACCGCCCGCACTCACGTCGTCCATGAGCAGAAGCAGGATATTGGGGGGCTGCGGGGCGCCCGAGGCCCCCATCCCCGCGGCGCTCAGCACCAGCAACAGCCGCCACCACCTCGTCGCCGCGACAACCGCCGCCATGGCAACCACCGGAGCCGCGGAGCCCGAGCCAGCGAGCCGACCCAGCAGCGAGCGTCCGCCTGCCCTTCCGGCTGGGCTGCGGGGCGGGGCCTGGACGGCCTCGTGACCAGTGGGGCGGGGCCAGAGTCCGCGGCGGGACGGAGGCGGGGCCTGGACGGCCTCGTGACCAGTGGGGCGGGGCCAGGACCAACTGCGAGACGGGCGGGGCGGGGCTTGCGGGGCTGCGTGACCGGCGGCGGATCACGTGATGCGACGCCAGCGCCGGGCCTCCCAAGATGGCGGTGTGCATCGCGGTGATCGCCAAGGAGGTGCGTACGCGCGGCGCGGGGCGTCCGGGCCCGCACCATCCTCGCCTCTCCGCTCTGTCTTTCTTCCCTGGGCCTAGAAGGCGCCTTAGGAAATGGGACCTGGAGGAGGCCTTCGCCGAGCTCCAGGGGTCAGGGGCTTCGCGGTGGACGAGCCACCCGGCAGACCCTGAGCTCCCCAGCTCCGCGCTTGCCCGTCCCGCTGCTGAACGCACCCCTTGGCGCCCCAGGTCTCCTCCCCGCCAGGACCCACCAGAAGCCTAGGTGGTCCGGGGCACTGCCTAGGTTCTGCCGGTTCTCCCATCCAGCGCTGACTCCCCGCGTACGGCCCTTCTGCCAGTCTCCCAGGAGCCGAGTTAAAAACCAATCGGATCCTGTCACGCCTCTGCCTGAGACTTCTGCAGTGGCTTCTCGTTGCCTTAGGATGCTGTCTGAATAACCTGGTCTGGTATCCTTTCCCCCCATAACCCTTGGCACCCTCCGCTCCAACCAACCAATTTTGCAGCTCCCTGGACATGCTTTGCCCTCTCACCTCTGGGCCTTTGCACCCAGAACACCTCTCCCCAGCTCCCACCCTCTTTACTGGCCCACGTACCTTTCTTCTGGAAAGCATTTTCTGAAGGCTGAGACTGAGCTGGGTGGCTGTCCACACTGTGCTCCTGCTGCATGGAGCCTTCATTTCCTAGTCAGGGTCTGCCCTGAGACCACTCTGGAGGCCGCTCCCTGCTGCGCAGTGGCTGCTGCCAAGCTTCTCATGGGCTTCCCTCCTGGCCACAGATGATCATTTGCTTGTTTGTGGGTTTATTGACTAGGTATCATGTAGCGCCATGAGAGTAGCGAGGACTCTTGTTCACTGAATTTCTGCAGGACCCAGTGCTGAATTTACAGGGTAAATGGTGGTGTGTGAAAGCCCAAGAAAGCTGTTAATTCTGGGCTTACAATGGTCAGGAATGAGAAATGAAGGGAATTTGAGCTGAGTCTTGAACGGTTTAGTAAAAGGGTCAGTGTCAAGGTGAAGAAAAGCCAGTATTTAGGGTGCTGTATTTGGGTGACCCATGCAGAGCTAGAGGTGGGCTGAGGCAGAGTGGCCTCCAGGAGAAGGTGAGAGGCCTGCCCGGGTTCCAGGCTTGATCGTCAGGCTGTGCTGAGGCCCATTTTTCTGAGTTGTCTTTTCTGGCCACCCTACTGCTGCTGCTTTGCAAACAACACATAAATCTTCTTAGGTTAGATGGGATTCCCTGAAGGCAGTGCCCACTGCGGCCTGGAGAATGAAGCGGTGGGCCTTAAAGAATGGGAATGCATTCCCCGGGTGGCTGAAGGTCACGGCTCTGCAGCATAGTTCAGAGCTGGTGTGCGCTGGGTGGAGTCTTGTCCTTTCAGTCGCTGTCATCCTTTCTTGCAGAATTACCCCCTCTACATTCGCAGCACCCCCACGGAGAACGAGCTGAAGTTCCACTACATGGTGCACACATCTCTGGACGTGGTGGATGAGAAGATCTCTGCAATGGGGAAGGCCCTGGTCGACCAGAGGGAGCTGTACCTGGGCCTGCTCTACCCCACGGAGGACTACAAGGTGTATCTTTCAGGGCAGGGTGTGTGTCAGGGAGTACCTGCAATTGTCGGATATACTTTAGGATCAGATAGCTTGAAACCTTTGAGAAGAAAGAAAAAGAGGTGAGAGTTTTTGACCAGCCAGGGAATTAGGGACGCCTGAGGTGAATGAAGGCCTCTAACTCTTCTCTCTCTTTCATCGGAAGAATCATTTGGGAAAAGCAAGGCTAGAATGCCCTGTAGAATGTTTTGCTTTGCACGTGTCTGTTGTCTGGTTTGCAGAGGAACTGGGACGCTTCTGCTTTGTACCTGCAAGGATTTATTTCTGTGCTTTTCAGGGGGAGCCACCACCTTTGAGCAGGGGATAACGGTTTCATTTATTTTGTTAGGCCTTGCCTCGTACGTCACTAGACACACTCGTCTAGTCCCTTGAGACAAATCACTTGAGGCCATGGAGTTCAAAGTCCTTCCCAAAAGCGGTAATGTAGCTTGTCCATGGTGACATTTGCTGGTAGCCACTATTTTACAAAATAATGTGGCCTCTAGAGAGGGGATCTGCCTTGTTCATGAAGCCTCTGCTTTTGCAGTTAACTTTCTGGGCCAGGCATTGATTCCTAAAGAGGGTGAGGTGATCCAGACAGACAGACTCAGAGTCTACGCGATTCGGCTCTTGGAGTGTGAACTGGCTAAGGCTTGGCTGCCTGCCCCTTGCTTCTCCCACAAACACCAGACGTTGCCCTAGCGAAGTATTTAGGCTCGCACCCAGCATGGTCACTGCAGGACCAGCCCAGCCTGGGCATTTCCTGTGATTCAAGGTTGCCACGTTTCTCCAAAGGGAGGGCCCGCAGAGGGTCCTCCGCCGGCAGTCCCTGTGTTGCGCGTGCCTTCCCTAACCAGCTGTGCAGGTACGGCTACGTCACCAATTCCAAGGTGAAGTTTGTCATGGTGGTGGATTCCTCCAACACAGCCCTTCGAGACAACGAAATTCGCAGCGTAAGTCGGGGTTAGAAGGCCATGCCCGAGTGGGTGTTGTTTTTCCTTTTTGACTTTGTTTTGAAATGCTGAGAAGCCACAAATCTGGCACTGGCTGTGTGTACCTGGCAATGTCACAGTTTGCTGGGTCTTTTCCAGATGTTCCGGAAGCTACACAACTCCTACACAGACGTGATGTGCAACCCCTTCTACAACCCGGGGGACCGCATCCAGTCCAGGTGGGCCCTACTTCCTGTGTCCGCATCCAGTCCAGGTGGGCCCTACTTCCTGTGTCCGATCCAGTCCAGGTGGGCCCTACTTCCTGTGACCGATCCAGTCCAGGTGGGCCCTACTTCCTGTGTCTGCATCCAGTCCAGGTGGGCCCCTGACTCCATGGTGTACCGATCCAGTCCAGGTGGGCCCTACTCCTGTGTCCGATCCAGTCCAGGTGGGCCCTACTCCCTGTGTCCGATCCAGTCCAGGTGGGCCCTGCTTTCTGTGTCTTGCTGCCTTCTCTCTGTAGGACCTGCCTTGCCATTTTGGTTGCCAAAATGCAACCATTTGGAAAACAAGGGAGGAAAGGTCTTTTTAAGCTATGAGCACCATCCCCCTAAAACCCCTAGGGCAGAGGTTTTAAAGCCACAAAGCCCTGTTTCTCCACACCAACTCTTACACAGATCTCTGGCGCGTAAAGTGGATGGAGTGTGTGTGGTGCGGGGAGCGGAGCTTGCCCATTTGGCTTCCCAGGTGTGCCCAGTGGGTACCTGGGGCACCTGCAGGACTCAGGGCCAAGCACATGGGCGGTGGCTTTCAGGGATCACACATCCTCTTGTCACTACCTGATCTTTTATGTTGAATTTGGACAGTCAGGAACCTGGTTTGCAGGCATCTTCCGAATGGCCCAGAAAGTAAACAGACTTAACTTTTGAATGGCATGAGGGAAATGTGGGGTCCACGCCTACACTCCAGACTTGCTTCCAGCGAGTCCCCAGTTCCAAGACATAATTCCTTGTGGTTGGCAGGCAGGAGGACGCTGCAGTGACCCCAGCCAGGCCCTTCCCTCCACCAGGACTCCGTCTTGGGGCCATCCTGGGTCCCAGATGGGAGCAGGCAGGCGAACGTCCATGCAGTCCTGCCTCCTGGGCTTCACAGGCCTGTCCTTGCCACACCACTATCCTGCCTGCCCATGCTGCTCCCTCCTCCACCCCTTCCTGGGGCCTTGGGAGACTGCACAGGGAACTTGGAGGCAGCAGATGGGTTCTCAGTGCCTGGTGGGGCGGGACTCCTGTCCTGGCCTCTCAGCTGAGTTCACGTTTCTGGACCCTGGAGAAGGCCCTGAGCGTCCTGTGGACGGAGCCCTGCTGCCCTGCCTGTCTCCGTGAGCAGAGAGGTGGAGGGCCTGGCTTTCCTCTGAGTGGGTCTGTTTCTCTTAGCAGGGCCTTTGATAACATGGTGACGTCCATGATGATACAGGTGTGCTGAATGAGCTGTGCTGCCGGCCATCGCAGAGGATCCCACGCGTGACCGTGGTGGCCGTCAGTCTGTTCTCGTCGCCTCTTCCTGAGTGGGACGCCCGGGGCTTTCAGGGCAGGCAGCTGTGCATGTTCTCAACTAAAGGTCTTGTGAGATGAGATTTGGCTTTTTCCTTCCGTGTCAGCCAAGGAAGGTTAACTAAGTTAACCTTCTTAGTTAACTAGTTAACTAAGAAGAATTCAACTAAGGACTTTCAGGGGTGTGGGCAGAGGTTTGGGATTAGATGGTGCAGGAAGCCTGTCCCCAGTTGTCCCGAACGGGCAGAGGCAGGGGCGCCTAGAGCCAAGAGTTCCTGAGCCTACAGGACCTGTGACCATGTGGGTCGCCCATTGGCTGAACAGGTGGACTGGTCTGGAGGGGGCGGCCTCCTGAGCCCAGAGCCAGCCTAGGATCTAGGGGCAAAAGGGGAGCCAGCGTGCCTTCCCACAGGGGAGGGCCCTCCTCTTTCTGGACTTGGCCTCCATTCTTTGCATCTGGCCCAACGACTAGACTCAGCCTGGCCTGAAAAGAACGCTTGTGAAACCTGGGAAGCCTCGTGGCCCCGTGGCGTTGGCTCAGCTGCAGCCGTCATCCTAAGCCCTGGAGCGCAGACTTGAGGCGCCCCTTCCTGCCTGTTTGTGCTGAGGGGGTTCGGTGCCGTGTCGCTTGATGACATGACTGACTACCACCCAGGGCAGCGGCCAAGCCGCTGTGTCAGTGCCGCCGGCAACCTTGGGGTCCAGCAGTCGAGGCTCAGCCAGCTGAGGAGACCCCCCCGCAGAGCTGGTTCCAGCACTGGTCCAGGACTGGAGCGTTTCTCAAGGACCTTGAAGACCCCAGGAGCCCCTGCAGCAGGAAAGGCTGTAAGGGGGTCAGCCTGGGGCAGACACAGGGAGGGGAACTTTCTCGATACATATTTGCCTTTTCATCCCATCCAGCAAGCACAGTGTTAATTTTATAAATTATAGAAGAAGAAATCAGCAAGGAGTGTGTGTGAAAACCGCACGTCCCAGGCTTCCCTCGCCCAGGGTGAATTGGAAGTCCTGGTGTGGGCCGAGGCACACCGGGCAGCTGGTCTGAGTGCATGTGGGCCACAGGCCACCCTCACACGGTTAAATCTTTAACAAGAGCCTCATGTTTGTTAGAAAGTGGGACCCCAGCCCAAGCACCTAGCACCTCCCCACTGCAGCCCAGTGTGAAATCTTTGCCTTTTAGTGGGAATCGCTCCTGCCTGAGTCCTGGCTGTGGTGGGGACTCTGCAAGTTGCTAACCCAGCATCCATTCTCCTTCCTCCCTACTAACAGAACTCTGGTGCCTCTGCACAGCTCTGACAGTGGGCAGATGAGAACCATGTCCTGGCCTCCCTCGCAGCCTGGGGTATGCAGCTGTGGCATGGAGGTGGTGGTGCTAGGACAGACTTGCAGGGAAGCTCCTGTGAAGGGGGCTCAGCTGCCACGTGCAGGGCCCTTCCCCTTTGCCTTCTTCCTGCCTGGAACATGGATGTGATGGCTGGTGCTGGGACAGCTGTCCTGAGAGCATGAGGAAAGAGTCACACCCTGAGGACAGTGGAGCTGATGCACAACGCAGGAGGGAGGACCCTGTGCCTTTGCTGACACAGAACGCTTGAAGGACCCTAGGCCTTTGCTGACGTACCAGCCCCGGACTGCTTAAGTTCAGCTTTTTTTAAATGTGAGAAAATAAACGCACCCCTCTCTGGTTTAAACCACTGCTATTTGGGTTTTCTGTTAGGCGTAGCCAGACCCACCTGTAAGAACTTTTTACATTAGGGAGTTTTCACAAGCATTGTAGGCACCATCCCCATTTTAAGTCCAAGGAAACAAGTCATGTGCTCACCTCTGATCTGACAGCAGAACTGTCACGTGGTAGGTTCGTGCTGTCTCCACCCTGGGGTTGGCCTCATGGAGGGCCACAGCCCTGCCCACTCCTTCCTCGACCCCAGGCGGCTTCTGCTGGACACCACGTGGGGCAGCCCCTTCTCCTCGTCAGGCAGCGACGATACTGCCTCTTTCCTTCTGCCGCAGACGGGGGACGATGAGCCTGTTCTTGTTAGTTGCCCACCCGAGCCAGCCAGAGCATCCGCCGCCTCGACGCAGCTGCAAAGGCCTCTGCAGGTCATGGCCCAGGGTCTCATCACCTGGAAGGGCCATGCTGAGGGGTTCCCAGGTCTTCCTCCGCCTTAGCCTGTTCAGGTGTCAAGTCCACAAGAAAGGAGGGACTCCCCAGGCTCACTCCGCTGTCTCCTTGCAGTGGCCACACAGAAGGCTGAAGATGGACAGTAACTAACCTGCGACATGGGCTAGAACAGTCAGGGACCTGACACACCCATGGGCGTGATACCTGCGTCAAGGCCAGCAGCGAACCCTCGCTGAGGGCCAGACCCTGGCTCTGGGTACTGAGCAGTCAGGGCCTGCCATCTGCAAAGTGCAGTGCTTGCCTCAGGCCCCTCCTGCAGCCCCCAGCTGTGAGTGGTGCGCACCAGGCCCCGCCCTGGGCAGCTTGACCTCCCTTCTGGGCTAGGCCTGGCTCTCACTCTGATGCTGGGACAGCCCCCTCAAGCCCACCCTGAAGCCAGACTCGCTGGCAAACCAGCAGAGGCCTGGGCAGAGCAGCTCACAGACCACAGAGCCCGGGTCCCCAGAGTGGACCTCAGGCAAGATCAGGACAGATCTTGGAGGGCCATGGTGGCTCCTTGGTCGGGTATCCCGATAATTAGGTCAGAGAGCTCAGTCTCCAGGCCTGCACCGTAACAGAGCACCGCATGGAGGGGCTTCAAACCCCGGGAATGTGTTTCCGCCCCATGTCGGAGGCAGAAGTCCAAAGGCTGGGTATGGCTGCGGCTGGCTTCTGGAGGCTCTGGGGTGGGTCTGCTCCAGCCTCTGCAGCCACTACCGGCCCCTGTCATCCTCGGCATTGCTCCAGCCTCTGCCTCTGTCCTCACACAGTCTTGGAGCGTCTCTTGGTCTCTGTAACCAGTGTGTGGTTGGGTTTAGGGCCACAGGTAACCAGTGTGTGGTTAGGTTTGGTCTCTTGTAACCAGTGTGTGGTGTTTAGGGACCGCAGATAACCAGTGTGTGGTTGGGTTTAGGGTGTGTGGTTGGGTTTAGTGACCGCAGGTAACCCAGGACCATCTCTAGACCTTTCACTGAATCCCATTTGCAAAAACCCTTTCAAGAGAAGTTCACATTCACAGGGTCTGGGGATCAGGACATGGATGCAGTTTGGGGGGCATCATTCACCCCACTACAGAGGCCAACATTGACCCAAGGCCCCACGGTGGGGTGGGGTGGGGTGGGGTGGGGGCGGATTTGGGGAGGAGGCCGGTGTAGGCGGGAACAAGGCCCCACGGTGGGGTGGGGTGGGGTGGTGGGGTGGAGGTGTGGGCGGATTTGGGGAGGAGGCCCGGTGTAGCGGGACAAGACCCCACGGGTGGGGTGGGGTGGGGTGGGACCTGGTTTGGGGATGAGGCCGTGTAGCGGCGGGAACAAGTGCCCACGGTCGGGTTGGGGTGGGGGGGTAGGGCGGATTTGGGTGAGGAGGGCCGGTGTAGGCGGGGGGAACAAGGCCCCGGTGGGTGTGTGGTGGGGCTGTTTGGGATGGCGGGCTGGTGTAGGCGGAAAGGCCCCACGTGGGGTGGGGGGCTGGTTGGGAGGCGGCTCGGTGGTAAGGCAGGAACAAGAGGCCCCACGGTGGGGTGGGGTAGGGGTGGGTGGGTGGGTGGTGGGGCGGATTTGGGGAGGAGCCGGTGTAGGCGGGAACAAGACCCCACGGATTGGGGTGGTAGGGTGGGGACTTGGTTTGGGGAGGAGCCGGTGTAGTGGAACAGCCCACGGTGGGGTGGTGTGGGTGGGGCGATTTGGGGAGTTGTAGCGGGAACAAGACCCACGGTTGGTGGGTGGGGTGGGGGTGGGGGTGGATTTGGAGAAGGGCGGTTACAACAACCACGTGGTGGTGGTGGGGGCGGATTTGGGGAGGAGGCGGTGGTAGGCGGAACAAGGCCCACGGCTTAGTGGTGGGGTGGGGTGGGGGCGGATTTGGGGAGGAGGCCGGTGTAGGCGGGAACAAGGCCCCACGGTGGGGTCGGGGACTGGTTTGGGGAGGCGGCTGGTGTAGGCGGGAACAAGGAGGGTGGCTCATTCCCGGAAGCAGTGCGTGGCCTGGTGCTGGAGGAAGGTGACTGAGGGGTGGGTGGGCACCAGCCCACTGAATAGGAGCTGGTCTGCACGGGGCTCCAGGAATTACCACACTGAGCCCAATGGGGCACGAACGGGAGGCGCCGTCCGTCGTGGAGTCTGGAGTCGGATGTGTGCACATAAGCAGCCTTGGGCCTCCGCAGCTGTGCATGCTTTCAGAGGGGACAGTTGTCAAAGTGCCCGGGACAGAGATCAGAGATCTCCACTTCTGTTTACTGAGCTTCTGACAAGGGCCAGTGTCCTGGATGTCTGGATCACTTGGTGGGGACACGTGGTGCCAGGGCAGGGTTATGGGGTGGGGGCGCCTTGACTGACACACAGGCAGTCGTAGCCCACCAGGCTGGCAGTGACGTTGACACCGGCTCAGCCTGTGCACACTGCCGGCTTGCTGTCGGTCGTGAGAGTCTAAAGCTCTGTCCTTCTCCCACAGCCACAGCCCACTAGCTGCCTTCTGTGTCCTGTCCCAGGGGAAGACACGAAGGGAATTGTGTGTCCTGTCCCAGGGAAAGACGAAAAGGGAACTGTGTCCACGAGGGGAATGCACAGGAGTGCTGCTGCCATTTGCTTTTAAAAAGTTTAATAATTTATGCTTCACCATTAAGAGACACGTTTCTATTTTTCTTAAAATGACTTAGTTGAAGAGCCGAGCATGCCCACCCCAAGCTGGCCTGGCACTGCCCGGGCCTCTGCCTCTCCCCGACCTCACTGCCCAGAGCCCCCCTAGATCCCCATGGCGCCCGTGCCAGGCCCACCACCGGGCCATGACTGTGACTCGTGGCTGTGGCCGTGGGTCTGGGCCACCATACAAGGCCCTAGTGGGCCATCCCCTGGCCAAGTGGGGGTCAGCAGCTGCTCTTCCGGACACCCCTCTCCTCTGGCCTCGCCCCTGCCCTACTCCCTGCCCCAGCCCCAGGATGGAGCCCAAGTGGTTTACTCCTGACCCAGCCCCCAGCCCCTCTCTCAAAATCAGGCCTTCCCCTTTAATATGGTGAAAACCATGGTGAGAATTTTCCACGGGTCCTGCACGGAGAGAGAATGCACGGTGAGTGGCATTCCAGAGGGGAAGGGAGGTGGCCCAGGGCCCCGGGGGACAACAGGACAAGGATGCAGGGAGGGCACCTGACTGCTCAGGCAATGCCCCAGGGGGCCTTTCTGGTGACTCCTAGCTGCTCTCCTGGGATGGTCCCAGGAAAGGGAAAGGCAGCGCCAGGAAAGGGAAAGGCAGCGCCAGGAGAGCCCCTTGGGACAGCTGCAGCCCACCCCAGGGTCTTGGTGGGAACAAGAAAGGGTCACCTCTCCCAGCAGAGAGGCTGCAGAAAGCACCCCCCTAGCTGATGCAGCAGCCTCAGCCCTCACCCAGGCCCCACCAGGTACGTTCCTGCAGCCCCGTGAGGAACAAGCTCAGGGACCCCCTCCTGCCCCTGATCCCCAGGCCCCGACGCCCCACCATGGCCCTCGCCCCCAGGCTGCCTCCACAGGCACCCACTCACCGGTTCTGCCCTCGTGGTCTGAGCCGGGGCCTGCCCTGGAGGCCGCTGAGGGGGAACGGTGCCCCCCTGGAGCCTGGGTGTCCTCGAAGGCCCCCGCGGTCTGTGGAGCTGATCCCAGGGAAGTTGGTTCTTTTTGGCAGCACCTGGAGCAAAGGCCTGTTCCTAGTCCTCCTCGAGGGGCAGCTAAGACCCAGCCCGCAGTCCCTGCAACGCCCACCACCCCGGAGTGTGGGGTCCTGCAGGCTCAGGATGCCATTTGGGCCTAAAGGGTCCCTTGCCTTTGCCCACCATAGCTGTCATATGACACCCAGTCACAGCCAGCACCCCTGCAGAGGGGGTTCCCGCCCCGAGAGGGGACACGTCCCCACCATGTCACTGGCAGACCAAACCCAGCTTCAGGTCCCAGGGTCCTGCCACATCCTGTCCAGGCCCAGCCAAGCACTGTGCCTGAGACGCGCTGTGCAGAGAGGAGCCAGCTGGGGCTGCTGTGTGTCCCAGGGCCAGTGGGCCAGCCCCTCTGGGCTCATGTTCCTGGACCTGGGGAGCACTGGCGCACCTTGATGACCCGGCCCCGGAAGAGGCTCTGGTCCAGCTCCACGGCGGCCTGCACGGAGCCCTTGGTGGCAAACTCTATGTAGGCGTAACTGAGGAGAGGGACGGGGAGGGATGAGGCTGGGCCCCGTCCGCACAGCCAGTGCCCCCGCCAGGCCCCGAACTGACCCCTTGGGGTGTCCAGAGAACTTGTCGCACAGGATGGTGACTCGGTGGACCTCCCCGCAGCCGCTGAAGTGGGCCTCCAGCTCCTCGGCAGAGCCCCCGTAGTCCACCTGGACCCAGGCCCAGACCCGCGTGTCAGGGAGACGCCTGGCCCTGACTCGGGGCTTTCTTGGTAGAGGTGGGGAAAGAAACCCCAAGGCTGGGCCCCCGGGCGGGGACGGCCCCAGGCCTCCACCCCACACCCCTGCTGGGGATGGAGGGAAGAAAGGAAAGGAGATCTCACATGGAGCGCTCCCTTCCGGAGGGCTGGAGCCTTTCAAAAAGCTTCTCAAAAGTGGAGATTTCATGTGCAATCCTGAATTCCAGCTCATGTTGAAAAACTGGAACATGTGCCCAGGCCAGTGTTTCCTCGAGGGGACAGGGCTGTCCCCAGTGTCAGACTCCCTTCCCCGAAAGCCTGGCCCAGGGCCGGGCACCAGACCCCCGGAAGAGATGGGGCCCCACTCGCTGCCTGCCCCCCCGGCCCCCGCCTGCCACTCACGTTGCCCACGTAGACAGATCTGTGGTCAGCCTCCACCTTCTCCTCGGGGGTCGCAGGGAGGGGGCAGCCTGCGGAGAACACAGCTCAGGTCCGAAGGCCCTTGGCTCCTTCCTCACTCCTCTCACGGGGAAGGTGGCCCAGGTTTGTAGGGAAGGTGACACCTTGGAGCCTGCCAGGCCCAACCCTCATGGAAACTCTGGGACCCTGGCTCAGTGGGGGGCGGCCTGGGCCCCTGGTTCCTACCCATGGCCTCAGGGCTCAGCAGCTGCCCGGCCATGGTGCCCTCCTCTTCCTCGGCCTGGTGCTGCACTCCCGGAGGCTGTGGCAGCCCCTCCTCTTCCTTGGCCTGGCGCTGTGCTCCCAGAGACCATGGCGGCCCCTCGGCCTGCTCCATGGCGCACACCTTCATCTTGATGGCCTCCAGCTCCTGCCGACACATGGCGCTGAGTGGGGCAGGCAGCCTGCAGGCTCTGCTCGAGGAAGGTGGGTGTGTGGCCTGCCAGCTTCAGAAGAGGGTCACAGCCCCAAGGGGCAGCCCTTCTCTGGACAGGGACGCTCCTTCCTGGGGTGATGAACTCGCCCCTGCAGAGAAGCCCCCGAAACTGCACCTCAAGGGCCCTTCCCCAGGCCAGAGACGCCAGCTTGACTCCGCAGTCTGTGCTGCGGGGTCTCCTTGCCACCTTCGTCCAGGCAGGTGGGCAATGGTCCTCTCCCCTCCTAAGTCAGCTGCAGCCATCCGTCACCCAGACCCCGTGTCTCCGCCAGTCCCTGTGCCCCAGGTCCCCTGAGAGCCCCAGGGCCTCCACACAGCTGTTACCTGGTCAGGCACTGGGCACTCAGCCAGGTTCTCTTGCTCCAGCAGAGACAACAGGAAGCCTGCATCCCCATCCTGGTCTTCCTCTGCCTCCTCTTCCTCCTCCTTCCCTTCCCCACCCTCTGGCCCCAGAGTCTCCTTGGTCTCGTTCCAGGCCCCCCAGCCCTGGGCCTCTGGGTCTGAGGAGACCGTCTGGAGCCAGGCCTGAGTTGGGGGCGGAAAGAGCGAGCGGCTTGGGAAGGGCCACATGGTAGAAGGGCAGGAGGAAGGTGGGCCAGGCGAGGCCTCCCCTCCGCTCCCCTCGCGTCCACACCTGCCCGGGCCCTCCTGGAGTTTTAAGCTCTCTCCTGAGGCCAGCTGCTCCCACTAGAGCATTTGCAAAGGCTGAGTGGGGGCTGAGCTTCCAGCCTTGGCTCCTGGCCCCGCCCCTTCCCTGTCACTGGGACAGGTACCTCCAGGACACTCTCCCTGGAGGAAGGAGAGGCTGAGTTGAGTGGGGGTCACTGGTCTCTTCTGCTTCCGCCTGGCCATGCTGCGGCTCACTGGAGCCTTGGTCCATCACAGGATTCACACCTCAGCAGCATCCACATGGCACGAACACGCAATCCAAGTGGGAACACAGGAGCGGTTGTTTCTGGTACCAGGGTCCAAGCAGGCTGGGGAGGTGGCTTCCGACTAGGGGAGGCAGGGGCTGAGATGGTCCCAGGGGAGGGAAGGGTCTGAGCAGGGACGGAGGGCAGGTGCACGGGATGAGAGGGCCTAGGCAGGTCGGGGCGGGGTCCTGGGCCCAGAGGAGGGGCAGCAACCGCTGTCTCTGCATCCTGACCCCCGTGGAGTCCCAGG